TGCTGGGACTCTGTCTGGGGCACCCTTACCCCAGATACACACCCAAGGGGCTTATCAAAGCCTCGTGGCCTGGGAGAAGGGAGAGGGGCAGGGCTGTGGGGTGAGGTCAGGAGCCGGGGGCCCGGCTCTTCTTGCACTGTCCCCAACACTCACCCTCCTTATAGGCCTCGTTGATGGCCCGGATTTCTGCATTGGTCCGAGTGGCTAGGATTTCGATGAGAGCCTGTTCGTCTGTGCCGGCTCCCTAGAAGATCACGGTACAGAGGATGTGATCCACAGCCCCGATCCCCGTGCAGAGGCCTGAGGGGCCCAGACCAAGGAGACCCCTGCTCCAAGAAACTGCACAGGTGAAAACTCAGGCCAAGCCTTCCTGGATTTTCTCTTTACCCTAGACGTGGCCCCCAGACCAGATCTTGGCACAATCAAGGCTGACCATGACAGCTTGTCAAGATTTCCAGACCCTCCCATGAGAAATGCTTTGGAATAAAAATTTTAAAAGAATATATTGTATATGGATATGCATTTATGAAAATGCATATACATATATGTATCTGAGTATAAACACTTATATATATAAATGCATAAAAAGGACAGAGGACACACATCACAAGGTAACAGTGGCTGGGGTCTCTGGGTGGGTGAAGGGTCACGGGTGGTTTCTGTCCCCTTCTTTGCTTTGAGTGTATTTTCCTGGTGAAAAACGTACTTGTCGGAAGAAACAAAGTTCTGGGCTTTGAGGAAAACAACAAGTGATATTTGTTGGATTTAATGGATGCTACGTGGACTGAGGCAGCTTGGGGAACCCATTACTCTAAGGTCCCCACTTTGCGGGAGGGAAGAGAGGCGAACAAGGCCGGTTGACTGATTCATAGATTCATGTATCTGTTAAACACCCGTTACATGCCAGTCTCTGCGAGCTGCTGGGTTAACGACTATAAAAAAAAAAGTAAGACACATTCTCTGTCCTGGGAGGTGACTGCCCAGTGTTCAGCGGTCCGGTCCCTATGTTCTCCGATCTGAAGGAGATCTTCAGTGATCTCTTTATTAAAAGCTGGCATGTGGTGAGGACAGCCTTATCCTCAGTGTCCTGAGACACACGGTCTACCCGATCCTTCTCCTAATTCCATGTTTTTAAGTCATTTACTTTTTTGTGCAGGAACTTTAAAAGGACAACAATCTCAATTTGCTTTGCCCAGGGAACGTCTGTTCTCCTCTTAATCCTTTAGGAGCCAAAAGTTCTAGTGGATTCATGTGGTTGTCAACTCAGCCTCTGGCGTCAGACAGACTTGGTCCAAATTCTAGCTTTGCTACTTTCCAATGCTGTGACTTTGACCAAGAAACTTAAGCCCCAAGGCTCAGTAAAATGGGGACAAAATAGAAGTCTTGCCTGGTGGCTTAACGAGATAAGTAACTGAGCTAACTAACTCAACCCAGGATAGATGTGGGAGGGGCTCTACCAAGGAGTTACAGCCAACCCACCTGGGCTTGGGAGGCACGCCTGCTCCCCCCCAGCACCTGCACAGTCTGGACCCCACGCCCTTGGTGCCCACACCTTACCTCCATGGCCTTCTTCAACTGCTTGGCGTCGTAATGGGCTGGTGGCATCATCAGTCCCAGAATCAGCCTCGCCAGGTCTCCGGAGATCTCAGACTTCAGGTCAGCCATCAAGTCCTGTAAAGGGCAGAGCCAAAGTCATGCCAACATCAGCACTTGCCCACACATGACCTGGGACAGGGAGAAGTGGAAAGAGGAGGCAGGGTTCCCCGTGGATGCAGGGATCGTGGGCGCCTAGGTCTGCCCTGGCTGGTGTTGGGTTCACTGTTCAGGAAGCCAAAGCGGGTGGGAAAAACCCAAGCAGGAAGAAGACCCGCTCTCCTTGGAGGCAGGAGACAGGGAAGCAAAGGGGGCAGGGCCGTTTCCACCCTGGGGAAAACTCGCCAGAAAAACTAGACAACACTAAGGCACAATAATCACTGACACTCAGCCTTGGGGCCTTGAAGCCTCTCTGTGCCAGGGGAACTGTGAGCTGCCGAAAGTGCTGTGTGAAAACAACTCATCCGGGATCTCAGCCCCAAGCGGAGCCAGTCACACAGCTGCTGCTGATCACAAGGAACGTGGGGGGAGGAGATGGGTGTACAGGCAGCCCAAATCCAGCGCTGGACACACTCCAGGAACACGGGGCCACAGGAGGTCCCACTGCCATGAAGGCGCAGGCGCAGAACTGGCTGTGACAGGCCGAGCCCCCCAGAGGAGGAGCATGGATGCAGGGCCGGCGGTCCAGGCGGAGGTCCTTACCCGGCCGAAGTGAGACTTGAAGGCCTGCCGGATCTGCTGCCGCTGGGCGTTGCTGCGGTGCGTGATGATGTTGATGATGGTGTCCTCGTCAGTCCCTGAGTCCCCAAAGCCACAGCTCAGAGGAAGGCCTAGGCCCAGCTTCCCCATCTCCCCCAGGAATGGGCCCCATCCATCCTTTGTCAGGGGAGAGACCGGGCTAGGCAGCCTTGTCCCCAAGCCCCTGCAGGAGCCTTGCTTCTGGCCCAAGCCACTAACTTCCCCTGGATTCCTTTCTGTACTTCCTTCTGTCATGTCACAGGTTGAGAAAAAAGACCCCTGGGGGAGCAGAGACAACTGGGTTGAGTGTCAGGGCCTCTGAGTTCTAGTCCTGGCTCTGAAAATGGCTGTCCCCTTGGGCAAGCCCCCTCCTCTTTCTGGGACTCGATTTCCACACCTGTATCGTGAAGAGCTGGGGGGTTATTAAGGAATTCTTCCAACCCGACAACCTAAGTCCCCTTGGGAACCCTATGTCCTTTCTCTGCAACTCCTGGACAGCCCCTCTAACCACAGCAGGTTGACTCCGGAAGGCACTCCCTGCCCCTCAGGCTAATGCTGTCAGCTTCAGACCTGGCACAGGACTCGATGTGTCAAGAGCATTTTTAGCCCTGTCACCTTACAGTCCCAGATGTGCTTGGTAGATATTATTATTCCCATGAGACAAATGAAAATGAGGCCTGGAAGGTAAAGGACTTGACCCAAGGCCCCCTGGGAGGTGCTGTTAGACAGAGCGGGGAGCGGGAAGCGGGGAGAGCAATGGAAGTCAAACCCCAGATGCTCTGTCCCCGCTGGCCTTCCTGAGGACAGCCATCCACCCACAGGTGGGTCTTCTCACCAGGGACAAATAGAGGCCTGGAAGTGGGTGACCAGCAGGGGGCGCTCCCACCGCCCCCGAGAATTTGAGATCTTAAGATTCAGGGTCCACATTCCTTATTTTATGCATGGGGATACTGAGACCCAGGTGAGTTAAGGGACTTGCCCAAAGTCACACAGTGAGTCAGCAGCAAAGCCCAAGCAAAACCCCAGGCCTTATCAGCCAGTCTTTCCTCTACACCAGGACAATGCTCTTGAGAGCCTGGGAGCACACTGGTCTCCAGGAAGGGCTGGTGCCAACTTCCTTACAAACCCCCTCACTCCCCTCCTCCTACACTCAGGGAGTTGGAGGCTCCAGGAGGGTGGAGACTCAAGGCAAATAAAAGTCCTCGTCATCCTGCAGACCCCAGTCTGAGGCCTCAGCTCTTGCCCCTGTCGGGCCCACTGCCAGAGCTGCTGCCCCACAGGCCAGCCCGGCCCCTTTCATGGGCCCCTTACCAAGCCCCTTCATGGCCTTCCGCAATGCTTTGGCATCTGCATCGGGGTTGAAGTCCCTGGCTGGGTGCACGGTTCCTTTCAGCTGCAAGAAGCAGAAGATGACTCAGCAAGTGTCTGGGGGCCCCCCAGGGGGCCAGGCCAAGAGAGGAGCATGCGAGGGAGAGGGGGCTGTCCCCATGAGCCCCAAACCAAGCAGCTTGGGGGGAAAGAGGCGGGGGTGAAGGCACAGCAGACAGACCCCTGCCTAGAGCTGAGAGAGAGAGACGCCACGGGCCCAGGCCTGGGAGCAAGGCAAGCATTGTCAAGGGAAGAGTGGCCGGGCTCCTGCCCCAGGAGTCAGCTCTCACCTGGCTCCACTGGCTCCCAGCCCCTCAGACCCCTGCCCTGTCCCCAAGGCCCTCCTGCCTCTCAAAGAAACACTCTCCCTGAAAAGGCAACTGAAATGTTCTCAAATACCAGAACAGAGCTGCCCAAATTTCAGTCACTCCTGAATGATCTTCATAAAGTTTTCCATATTGTGTGCACTTTATGCTGTTTTCTAATATTTTAACTTGATTCAGCTAATTCTACTTTTTTTCTATTTTACTTGAATGCATTCATTTTGAAGTGCATTTGAATACTCCGAAAGGGCAAGGAGTTTTGTCCTGTTCTTTGATATTTCCCAAGTGCCCACAGCAGTGCCCGACACGGGAGTAAGCACTCAAAAAATATTTATTCAATGAATTAATGAATGAAAACAACTTTCTTTCACTATCATGAATAGAAAGTTGGTGGCATGCACCATAACAGACAATAATCCATGAAAATAAATGTCATAAAACCAAAAAAAAAACCCCATATTTTAAAATATCATCAAATTTAACAGACACCACTGCTAGCCAGAAGCTCTAAACTTGAAGCTAGCTCTCTCAGCTCTTTGTGAAACAGGAAAACCAGCGACTGTGGCAGGGATGTGGCACCAAACTAAGCCTCCTTCTTTGACATAAGCAGCAAGGTTGATGGAACCCCCGAGGAGTAGCTTTCTCTCTGTGTGAGGTTCAGTGTTACCTAATGCCATGGATGTCCCCCCGCCAAAAACTCAATTCATTTCTCATATGATTTAAGACGGTCTGCAATGACAGCCCTTGCCTTGTGATTTGGGAAGCGCTGTCCTAGAGCATCCTGGAGGCCATCCAGGCTGGCACGTCTAACTCCCTCAGTTTAGAGCTGGAGTCTGGCCAAAGGCGGCACAGCGAGTCAGTGACACAGCCCGAGGTACCGGACATTTTTGTAGGGGCCAAGTACTATTCGTCCCTGGACTGATTTGCCCTGAGTACGTCTGTGAAACTTTCATTCTTGCCCTTTGTGGACCCTGGGCCTGAGGCTGGTCAGGGGGACCCAGAATCCTCCAGTGCACCCAGAGGTGCCCATCTGTTCTCAGCTTCCATGCCTCCAAACCCAGGATGGGATGGGCCCCTGCAAAGAACCAACCCAGGTCTCCATTCAGCAAGGCCTGTTAGTAGTTAGTGGGCCAGAACCCTTCCCAGCGTGTTAGAGGTTAATGCAGAATCGGATGCCGACACCAGAGTGCCCGCCCACCCATCCATCACTCCACGGAGAACAGGAAGCTTCAAGACGAGAGACTCAGTGTCTCAGGTTGGCCACCAGGGGGCAGCTGGGTGCCAACCAGAGCAGCAGCAAGGTGCGAGCAGAAGAGTGGAAGCTTGTAGTCAAGAGGTCAAGCAGGAGGTGGGGAGGGTCTGACCTCTACTCGGGCCACTGCACTAAGCTCCCACATCTGATAGGCCACCTGCGCTGCCTCCGGGAAGAACTGGCCAGCAGCACTGGAATGGAGGGGTTACGGAGAGGACAGGAGGGAAGGTCATCGTGGGCCACGCCACACCAACACACACCCACATACGCACACACACCAACACACACTTGACGTAAATCCATCTGGCTTTATCTTCTCTCCAGCTTGAGCCTCCCCCATTCACCAGAGCCCTCCCTCCATTTCCGAGGAACGCCCACCCTCTGCAATGCTGGCTCTGGCCAGCGGTCTTCCTGACCCCAGGTCCCATGCAGGAGAGGATTTCTCCAATCCTTCCACCTCCCCTTTCTTCCTTACGATTTGAGCGACTTCCATCCCAGTCTCCCCTCTCAAACATGCCCAAGACCAGCTTATGGCCATGCTGTCTCCCCTTGTCTTCCTGCAAAGCACCTGGGTGTTTTAGTCCCTAGGGAACTCTCTGCTGAGCTGAGCCAGCCCCAGGCACCTACCAAAGGCAAACAGGAGGCTCTCCTATCTCCTACTTCACTGGATCCTTACAAGCCTCAGAGAAGGGAAATCAGGGTATCTGAAATTTCCTTCCTAGCACACACACCTGGTCAAGTCATACCCCAGTTTAATCCCCCAATGGCTCTCTGCTGCACTTAGGCGAGGTTCATATGCCAGGAAGGGGCCCCAGGCCCTGTACCTCTTGGCCTCGTCTCTCCCTGCACGCTACAAAAGTGTGACCTCAGTCACGTGCATGAGCCAGGCTGTGCCTTTTCATCTCTAGGCCTTCTTTGCAGCCCAAACACTCTCCCTCCAGGCCCCGCCTTCACCTCCTCCTCGCCTCAGCCTCATTATCTTTGGGAGCCTCCCCCGAGTCTGGCATAGCGCACCTGCGTGTGCTTTCAGAGGCACGTGTACCTTCCCTGGTTACAGGGCTGCCCCGTATGCACGCCCTGGTCTGTGCGCCTTTCTAGACTGCGGGCTTCATCATGACTTCCCCACAACGCCTGCACTCGGGGAGCACTTCATACAGGCAGGCTGAATAAACGAGTAGCCAGAGCAGCCATCTGTATTTTATCCATTTACCGGGTGAGAAAAAGTGAGAAGCAGCTATGCAGTAAGTAGCAGGGCTTAGACCCTCATATTCTGATTCCTGGTCCACACCCCCGGACTGATTTCCAAATTCACAAGAGCAGGCGTCTCCACATAAGGGAGACCATACTCCCGCTCACATACACGCACACTCACACTTTCACCTGCGCTGCTCCTGCCTCTGAGGAACCCCCAAGCCCATCCAGTCCATCCACCCATTCAGCAGGATTAGACCAGGAGAATCCGGCCCCGCTACACCTGAGGCCACTCCCCACCCCCCAGGGCCAAGCGGCCACTTACTCATCGTCTCCCCCACACAGCTTCAGCAGAGCCTTCTTGTACTCGCCAGAGGTGTCATTCTGGGGAGACAGAGAGAGAGAAAGGTTACCACGTCTCGCCCAGCGCCGAGATTCTCAGACAAGGAGGGAAGGCTCTGAATAGCCCCAAATAGGGGGGAGGCTGACCACGTATTCACAGCAGCCCTGACTCTCCCCTTGTCTAGAGGTGACTGAGACCAAACAGTGGTGTGCCGGTAACTATTTAACAACTGGCTCTTTGGGAATAAAAGGAAGAAAGAGAGAGAGAAAGAAGAAAAGCAAGCCAGCCAACAGCCTGGATTTGTAGCACCTGCCAATCTCCATGGTGTAAAACTTTCAATGGACAATTCCAAGCTACCAACATCTCACTGAATGTGGAATTAAGAAGAGATGCTTTCCCAAGCCAGTGCGAGCTGGCCCCAGCACACCCCTGCCACCAGATAATCCCCAGCCCAGTCCTCCGAAGGGAAACAGTCCATGAAAACAGGGCTCTATGACCAAAAACCTGATAAATGCCAAAACCAAGCAAGCAAATGTGCATTTCACAGACGTGCCGCATTCTCTGTCCCTCTTGGAGCTTTGTAATGGACATGACCTAGTCGAGGCTGTGAGAAGTTCTGAGCTGAAGAAACTGACTTATCGTTGCTTATTCTAGTTCTTTCCAAGCACTTTCCCATGGGACATTTTTGCTTGTAATGCCTATAAAACTCCTCTTTAGAAACACACTTTGGGGAGCACAGCGGGAACTCAGAAAGCGTTATCCCAGTCACCCAAAACAAGGAGCAACAACGCAGCTCTACGTCTGTCTCTGACCAAGCCGCATCGGCTGGAGCGCCCAGAGTCATCGCCCAGCCCAGGGCCAACGGGTCCCAAGCGGACCCGTGGTCTTCAATGCCTCCCGCTGCCTCCGGGAGACTGAACTCTCACTGCCCTAGGGATGGAGTGCTTAGTGCTCGTCATGACCCAGCCCTGCCTTCCTCTCAAGAGGCGCCTCCTGTCTTACCAGGACCCTGGACCCTCGCTTCTCTGTTGAGTTGCCTTAAATTCCCTGAAGGTGCCACAGGCAGGGGCTCCTGGAATTCCCAAGAGACTCCCAGCATTCCAGGCCAGCGCCTTCTCTCCTGGAAGGTTCCCCAGCCCTCTCTGCACCCCCGTGAGCGCCTCACCTTGATCATGCTGTACAGGGACTTCTCATACTTGGTCCGGAAGATCTCCCGGATGTCCAGCATGTCCAGCTCACTGCGGGAGACCATGATGCGGATCAGAGTGTTGTCCCGGGTCCCCAGGCCCTGGAAGACAAGCAGGTTTGCGGGACAGGGAGTTGAGAGGAGGCTGGAATACTGACAGTCCCCAGCTCAGTTGCAAATACAATTTTTGTAATAAAATGTTAAAGCTAAGAACAAAAGAGGCAGAGCTTTGCCAAACCCTCTGAAGCTCCCTGTGGGGCCCTCCCGCTCTCATCTCCTTCCTCCCCGCTCAAGTCATTCCCATCCTTGACTTCCTTTATAATTTTACCTAACTTTGTAACTCTAAGCAATATATCGTTTAGATTTGCACATTTTGGAACTTTGTAAATATACCACAATGCATTTATTTTTCTATGCTACTCCTGAAGGATGTTGGGTTGTTTCTAGTTTTTTCATAATATGGACAATGGTGCTAGGAATGTTCCTTTGAACACATCATACAGACATCTCTACAGGGACGATGTCCAGCGCACACTGGCACTGGAAGACAGGGAGTGGGTTACATGCAGTCCGCTCGACCTTGTGGGATGGCCACGCAGGGACTTCGGGCCTACGACCTCTGGCAGCAAAGAACTGCATTCGTTTACCCTGGGGTGCTCTGAAACATCATGAGTTCCTGGGTGTCGTGTGTGTCGAGCCCTGGGAAGCACTCGACACCCAGAGTGGAATCACTGGGTCCCAGGGATGAACATCACGAATCTTAGCAGACAACGCTAATAATTTTTTACTTACTTACGTACACTATATATAAACATTCTGGTTAATTAGTATTTTTTAAGTGCATGGGCTTCCAACCCACCTGGCTGGCTGTCACTGCACGCTCTGATCAACCATGAGGTCAGGGCAGGTATCTGGGTGGGAAGGTGTGTGACCAGGCAGCCTCCCAGGCTCTCGAGCTCACCAGGGACAAAGTCCCCTCACCCTGTCCTGTGGCCAATCCCTTGAGGGCTCCTTTTGGCTAATGGACCCCAAGAATTTGCCAAAGAGTCCCGGCAGGCCTGTGGGGGTGGGCCGAGCCCCCTCCCCCCACCTCATTCACATCAACCCCACCACGCACCTTCATGGCCTTGAACAGCCTTTCAGCAAAGTACTCGGGGGTGCTCCGGATGCACTTCACTGAGAACAGGGAGGAAGACGTAGTTACTCCGGCTGCCTCGGAAGGACGACGGGGTGGCCTGAACCCTTCTTTGTTCCCATTCCTTGGGAGCCACCGAGTTCAAACCCGGGAAGAACCTTAATTCCTGATAACCCGCAGGCCAGAGCACCCCAGACCCACCCACTTTTTTCCTTAAATATTTATTTCCTTTAAAAAATAAGCAGAATAACTAAAAGGAAAACAAGGAATTTCTTTGTAATTATGCATTAATTTAATCATTCTTAAATGTGGCTTCTAAAGCTATCTTCATTATCTACCGTTTCAGCTATAAGAGCCTTTTTCCTTAAGTCCCTGAATGATTCTCTATAAGATCCTATTATTCAATCTATCCTTATTTATTTCCGGTACTTTCCCGTTTCTTCTCCTCCTCCAGAGCAAATTTAGTTGCTATTTTTTTCAGACCCACCCACTTTAATCACAAACCCAGCGGCTAGATAAATCAGAAAGGGGGCCTATTGTAATGCAGCAGGGCGCTGCAAAGACCCACTTCATCTTCCTAGACCTTTAGGGTTTCACAGGGAACTGGGCCCAGGAAGCATCTGGGGTGGGGCTGGGAAAGCTGTTTCTCTAGATTCTGCTCCGACAGAAAGACACTGGCTGAACCTCTGGATCCTGCTGGCAGAGCAGGCCAGGACCTGGCTACCTGAAATAGTCTTGGTGGGGGACAGTTCTGGGCTTGAAGATGAGGGCTGGGCCACAGCTCTCCCCTCAAAGCACAGACACACAGTCTACCCCCAGGCTCAGACACACTGACTCCTGGAATGTCTGGCTTGAGGGCAAACAATCTGGTTTTCCCCCTCCCATCCCCCTACCATGCAATCCCCCTTTACCCATTCTCAGCCCCTTATTCCTGGGCCAGAATCCCTGAATCCCTCGAAGGCCCTGGGAATGCAACGTCGGGACGTACCCACAGCCAGCATCAGCTTCTCAAAGTCCCCGGACAGCTCCCCTCGGATGCTGGCTTCGATCGGCTTCCCTGTGGTCTTCAGATACTCATCAAACACTGGGCCAGACAGAGAGACAGGGGTGTTGAGATGCCCTCGTAACACTGGAAGGAACGGGGACTGCAGAAGGGGAGGCACAGTGGCCAGGAACGGAGTGCCACCCGGAAGGCAGGGTTGGCACCTAGGAGGTGGCAGGGAGGCCGTGCGCGTCACAGCCACTGCGCAGTCATGCTGCGCCTGCCGAGGGGCTGTGTGTGCCTCCCACTCCAACGTGAAGACGGGACCGGTGCTGAGATGGAAGGGCCGAACACCCTGTGAGTGCCTCCACTCAGGGACTAAACAAACCCCTGCCTTATAACATCAAGACCAGTGCTTGGGTTGAAGATGAAGCAGCTATCACGCTTCATTAGCAGAAAAGGAAAAGAGAGAGGAATGCTTGGCCCAACCCCAAGGGGGCAGCTATAGGTCTTCTCTGGAGCTTACCCAACCGAAGATGCTGCTTGCTGCGATTTCCCAAAATGTAAATGAACTGGGCTTCATCTGTTCCCCATTTCAGTTCCCCTGCCTCGTACAGGTCCTGAAGGGGAAGAAGTGGGACTTAACTAGAAGAGGAAACCTCAGGAGACAGAACTCACAGGCCCAGCCATTCCCAACTGCTGCCGGTTCCCTGAACATGCCAGTAACTGGTAGCCTCAGGACCTTTGCATACACCTTTATTGCCTTCTCCCTTTCTGTCTGGGGAAACTCCTATTCAACCTTTAGTGCCTTGATTAAATGTCCCATTTGTTCTCAGAGCACTTCCTGATGCCCCTAGGCAGAGTTCTCTTTCCCTCCCTCCCTCTTCTAGGCTTCTACAGCTTTCTATTTCTTTATGGCTTTGATCCACTGTGTATTATAGTGTTTCTATGCTTGGCTCCCCACTATATTCCCCCAAACAACAGGAATTATGTCTTACATTCTCTGTATCTACTCCTGCCATGTTACTGGCACATAGTGGGGGCTCAACACACCTGGAAGGTATGGTATATCCACAGAGAAGGCATTTGTGTGATTAATATATGCCTATTTCTCCCAGTACCGTCTTTGTTCAATAGTAATTCCCCAATGCTCGGCAGAGTGCCCAGCACAAAGTCATTGTTCAATAAATATTTACTAACTGAATGATTTAATGAACAAATGACAAAAGCTCCAAAATACATCTCATCAATTTTACATATGTCGTGTACCTTTGAAAGATAATGTAAGCCCCTTCTCCAACAAAGCACCGTATAAATGATGGCCGTGAGTCAGTTATTTCTGGTACCTGATGAGAACTACTTCGCCTCCAGCCCTTCCCCAGACACCCAACCTCTCCCCTCTCTCAGGGCTCCCTTGCTGTGCCTCGGGGACCTCCATCGTGCTTGTTTACCTGGACGTCCTGTTGCACCAAGTCCTCGCTCACTACATCGTCCTCCTCCCTGGTTCCCTGGGCGGAGAGACAAGGGACATGTGGTTCAGATGCCAGAGCCAGGGGAAAGCCTGGGTGCTAGTGGTAGAGACAAGGGAGACTGGGAAAGCCGTGGTAGCCCGGAAGCATCCAGGAGGAGTGACTTTCAGCTGCTACTGGATCAAGACTGCAGCATCTATTCTGCAGGGAACCAGAGGGTCCCTCCCACTGGCTCCTCCCTTCATCCTTGGAGCCTGGACCAAACAGGGGAGTCCTGAGAATAACCAAGGTCTTTCCAGGTGTCCCGATCCCAAAGGACCCAGAGCCTTGTACTGAGAACATCTCTAAGGTCAGGACTCCTGCCATAAGTTCTGGCATGGCCCACGAAGCCCCCTACAATATAAGAGATAAAAAAGTATGCATATCTGCATTCTCTTAGGGGCTCCTGTACCTTAACTCAAAGAATTCACCAGTGAGAACTGGGCCCTGGGATCTGAACTCACAAACTGTGAAGGCACCAAATCCTACTACTGGTGTTCCTGTCACTCCACCCACACCCGATGCCCCACTGATAGAGGTGAATCCCAGGGGGCCAGGCGCCAGCCGTCCTGGGCTCCTAGGCTACCTGGACAGAAGAGGTCAAGCCTATGCTTATCTCCTCTTCCCCAGGATGTGCTTTCCAGGATCTCAACCTGCCCCCCCCACCCCGGCTCTCTTTGGGACTGAGCCTAAGGTCACAGAGCCGGCAAGCTTACGGTCCCCACTAAGGTGTTAGATATTGAGGAGGCCACATCCTGACTCCGAGATACGGGCTGAAACTCCTGTCTGGGACATGTGCTTCGAAAATGGGGGCAAAGGTCACACTTTCCCACTCCTGAAGTTTCTCCTGATCACTCTCCGGCTGCTTAATGTGGAATGTGGATTGTTACGGTGACGGGAGGAAGAGGACTGGGAGCAGCTGCTGGCACATGTGTGTGGCGGGAGGTGAAGGGAGTGAAAGAATACATAAATTAAGACGTGGCCTAATTCATACATAAACCTTTCTAAAGGTTTGGTCCTTGGAGCAGGGCTTGAGACACCTCAGTGCCTGTTCCCATGAGGCCCGCAGTCACAGAGGCTCCTGCGGGGCAGGGCAGGTAGAGGGGAACTGGCAGGGTGGGAGGTGTGCTCCAGGCCACTGCCGAAGGGAGGCCTGCTCTTGCCAGAACTTTCAATTATTCAAAAGAATCCAGAGATCTGGTTTTCGAACAAAATCTCCCTCGTTTTAAATGTTAGCCACAAACTCAGTGTTTCTTTAAAAAACACATTGTGGGGAAAATGAACAACGGAAAAAAAAACCCAACTTGGCAAGTGGAATCCAGCCGTGGACACCAGTGTGCAGCCTCTTTGGCTTTTTTCTACGTCCTCCTTGGGTGGGAGGGAGCAGCAGGGCTCGGCTGCAGGAGATGGAAGGCAGGCAGTCCCAGAAATGCCACGGCCCTGCTGGCGCCCCTGCTGGTGTCCTCAGGTACAGGTAGTGGCTGGGGAAGCCATGGCAGGAGGGAGGCTGGAGAGGAGGGGGAAGGGGTGCATGTGGAGAAAGAAGACACAGGAAAGGATATTCCTGGGCACAGAGAGACAGGGTGTGTGGAAGGAAACGCAGTCACCTGCTGGTGCAAACCATGGGGGACAGAAGAGACCCTGGATGCTCAGACTCTACACCCAGGTAAGCCAGAGAGAAACCATCTCAAGTTTGAAGATAATCAAATGGGCAGAGAGGGAGGGACAGCCACAATGAGGACTTTACTCCCAAGAAGCCACCCTTGTCTAGGGAAACAGGGAGAAGGTGTCCACAGCCTTCAGTAACCCAGCAGAGAGCTTGGGGATGGGTGGACCAACCTGCAGCAGGACCACGAGCATCTTCCGGAAGTGGCCGGAGGTGTCCCCAATGACGTCAGCTTCCAGGTCTCGCTCATAGGCTGCAGGGAAGGAACACAACCTTAGTCTCATCCCCAGGACACCCCAGGGACCCAGGAGAATGGTCCCTGCTGCCCCGAAAATGATCAGGTATTTGTTACAAATCCCGAAACCCAGTCCCCAGGATGGCCATGGCATGACCCAGGGTGTATTTTCACAGTTCTTTGTACTGAACTGGAATCTGCCCACTGCTCTCTATGCCCACCTATGCCGTCTGACTCTGGACACGGCCATCACTCACGTGGACAGTGCCTAAAGCCTTCTGACTGTTCTCTCTGCTTCTCCAGTCCACAGCAACAAGAGTGACCGTCTTAAAGCCCATAGTGATCATGGGCTCCCCTGCTTCCCGCGGGACTTGGAATACACATCTCTTTCTCCTGGTCTGCAAGGCCCCGTGCGACCCCGCCTCACCCTCATTGCTCTCGCCTCACACCGCACACCAGGCTCACCGTGCCCTAGTGCATCTGGACTTGCCGTTCCCTCTCCTGCCTGGGTCTTCTCCCCACTCTTTATACAGCTGGCTCCTCATTTCCTTCCAAGACAGGCTTCCCCGATCACCTGTCTGAATCACATCCTCCCCAGTTAAAGCCTGATGTTTGTTTTTTCATCTGTTTCCTTCATAACTCTTCACCACAACGTGTCATCATCATGTTTCTTTATTTGCCTCTTTAATTGTCTATATCCCCCGTTACCTCATTAATCTAGAAGCTCTCAGAGGCAGGGACTACACAGGGACCATCGTATCCTGAGAACCTAGCACACTGCCCAGCACAGAGCTGGAACTTACTGGATGGACAGATGGATGGAAGGACAGATCAGAGGGAAGAAGGAAAGATGGATGGATAGAGTCTTAAGATCCCTACTCTTGCAATCACCCTCATACAGTATGTGAAAAACCTGCATGGCCCCTCCCACCCATCTTACCATCTTTGTACGCTGCCACCAGCTGGTGGATCTGCTCATTGGTCCGGGAAGCCAAGATCTCAATGAGGCACTTCTCATCGGTACCAATGCCCTGAGAGAAAAGAAGGGCCATGTGAGTCAAGGGCTGGGATGGGAGGCCACCTGCCGCGAGGTGAGAACCTGGGGTGGCCAAGCTAGGAAATCCCCAGCACACAGGGGGCTCCGAACAGAGCTCTCAGGCACCGATCTGGAGCTGCTGCCCAGAGAATCAAAAGACATGGGTTCTAGGTTCGCATCTGCCTGCAGGTTGCTTTGTAACCTTTCATAAAAAACTGTATCTTTCTGGGCCTCAGTTTTCACATCTGTAAAATGGAGATGACACTAGTTGCTCTGCTGAACTCACATGAAGATTGAGAAGGTAATCATCTCTGACACTGCTAATTTATTAGTTTGTGAAACAAATTCATGTTTAATAGCTCATCTGAGGCAAGGGTCATAGCACTTTAGAAACTGTAAAGTGCTCAGTACACTCAAAGGCTTTTGATCTCTCCCAGCTTTGTAGGGAGCAACTCTCCAACTCCACCAGACTGAGCTGGCTGCTCATATCCTGAACACACCCCCACCCCAACTCCTGCCATCTCCTCTCCAATCTGCAATGACCTGCCCACTCTAACCAACCAAATTCTCTCCAGCCTTTGGGCCCAGAGCCATCCTCTCATCTTCTGTGACGCCCTTTCCAGCCACCCTAGCCCAGGGAGTGCTCTCCTAAATTCCTTTAGGATGCCCTTGGCCCTTGGGTGTTGGATACAATCTGTTTCCACATCCCTGAATCCTGCTTCCTCAGGACTGTCAGCTGCTGGGGGGAGCAGGTGTGAGCCCCACATAGACGTCTGTCCCACCTCTGTCCATCTGGAGGAGACTGCACGCCTCTGGGATGGGATGCGGGCAAGCTGCCTCATGAGGCAGGGCCCACGTGCCAGGGGTGTGTAGGGCTCACTGAAGACCTGCTGTAGAGGCTGAAATCTCCCCATGAACCACTCCCCAACCCCAAACACACATGCAGACCCACACCTCTTACCGAGATGGCATCTTTCATTTCTTTGGCATCACCATAAGCAGGTGGCCTCATCAGACCCACAATCAGTCGTTCAAACTTCCCCGTCAGCTCATACTTCAAGTCAGCAATGAGGTCCTGGTGGGGGGAGCAGGGGGGAGGAGATGGAGGAGGATGGGGAAGAGCAGTTATAATGATAAGAATTACATTTAACAAGCACTTACTCTGTACAGGCACTGGGCTAAGTAATCTCATTTAATCATCACTCCTGGAGGTACGCATTAACATCACCCTTAAGACATGGGTTTAGAGATGCCAGGTAACTTGCCCAAAGGCATGCAGCTTGCAAACGGCAGGACCAAGTGCACAGCACTGTGCCTCCTCCTCACCGTTGTTTACTTGTTTATTGTGCATCTCTTGCACCATCTGTGAGTCTGCAGAGTTGACACCCATCCGTGTATTATTCACCTGTGTAGCCCTAAGACCTAGCAGAGCGCCCAGCATGTAGCCGGTGCTCTAGATGTTATCTGTGGCTCAGTGGTCCCTGCCTGACTGAGAGAAGGAAAAAGGAAGGCAGAAGTGAAGGCACAGAGGCTGACCTGGGGTAAAATTTCCAAGAAAGGCCCCGGATGAACACACAGGTGAATGCAATCACTCCCCCGTCCCCATCCCACAACCCTCTGGTTGCCATGGTTACCTTGCCATAGAGGGACTTGTAGTTCTGGCAGATCTCCTGCCTCTGCCTGTTGCTCCGGGAAGTGATCAGCTCCAATATGGCCTCCTTGTCACTGCCTAGAAGAGGGGAGGCACCTGTCACCCCCTCCCAATCTGCCTCCAGGAAGCCCGCCAAGGCTGCTCCCTACAGTCCTCATCAGCCTTCTGTGCATGTGAGGCAGCGGCGTGGGAGGGGAGGCTCTATGGGGATCTGACAAGCCCCGGCTGAGGGGTTCCTAGCACATGTGTAGTATCTGAGCTCGCAGGGCCCATGAATCAGCTCCTCATCACGTGAGTAAGAAAAACGAGGCACAGAGAGGGGCCAGGACTCACCCAAGGTCTCCCAATGGGCCTGGCTTAGGAAAAGCCAGGTGTCCTAACACACAGGATGGGGTTCTTTCAGTGACAAGGAAAACAAAAGAGAATAATAAGCAGCAAGTTCAAGGCAGTGGTTACCCCTGGGAGCAACGGCAGGATGATGTTATCAGGAGGGAGACCAACCACAGAGGTTTCAACTCTATGAGCAAGCAAGTGCTACTTCTTAAGATGGACGGCAGGTCTACAGGTGAAGCTTCTACTGCTCTTTAGATCTTTTTTTATTGGTCTGGAATAGTTCATTTTAAGATTATGAAAAATAATAAAAGAGGAGACCAAAGAATGAGTGAGTATGTGTCACCATCTCATCCCCCACGACCGAAAGGGCTCTGGGCTGCGCCCACATGTGGGGACACCCCCGAGCCCCAGTGAATCCTGCTCCGCAGGCCCCACCCCCGGCGCCGGCACCCACCGAAGCCCTTCATGGCGTTGTACAGAGTCTCGGCATCCTGGCTGGGGTCAAAGTCAGGGAAGTCATGAATGGAGCCTCGGTACTTGGCACCCTGCAGAGAGAAGAGCACAGGTGGGCTGCTGACCTGGCCCCGAACTCACGGGGCTCTCAGCCCCAATCCCAGCTCACGCCCCCAGCCCTGCCCGGAGGCTGAGTCCATGCTGAGCGCCCGGCCCCTAACATGCAGCGCTGACCACAGGAAGCCCGGGCAGGTATCCGGAGGACTCTCCCTGGACCTCCTGCCCGCACCTGCCCCAAGGATGGTGCCGCTTCCCCGCGGGAGGGTGGCTCAGCCAAGCCCATGGTTCTGCACCGCTTTCCGAGGACTCAGGAGAGACAGAGGCCAAACTGAGCACAAGGGGTGGAAATGGTTCCTGCAAGAGTAACAACTCTCACCTCCCCGCCACCCCAGCACAAAGCCCTTTCACCTCCATGAAATGCGACTATTTTACCATCTTGTAGAAGCACTTAAGATGATCTCTATCATAGAAATAAAGAAACCAAGCCCCACAAAGGGACGCGTCTTGCTGGGGTCACACAGAACCCAGATCTCTGGCCTGTTCCCCTTTGCTCTCCAGCTCCAGAAACCTTGCAGCTGCCGGCTTCCGAGGGTGGAGTCTCAGCCTGGGAGGCGGGAGTTGCGACGGGACCAGAGCCACCCTCAGAATCAACGCCCAGACAAGGTGCTGCCCCTCTGGGGCCAGTAAACTGAGCCGTGAACTGGCATCTGAGGACAAGCTGGCTGGGTCCTTGAGGTGAAGGCGGGGAGAGGCAGAGCCAGAGAATCTTAGACATTGAACCTGAATGCACAATGGGCTGGTTCACAGAGAAGTCAGATGTCGGTCAGCCTCATGGCCCCGAGAAGCATGGGGCCCAGGAGAGCTGAGGATGCTGGAGCCCAAGGCACTGAGCACACAGTACAGTGACAGGGCACTTAGCCTGTGCCAGGCCTGGTGCAAAGGGCTGAAGACTCAGGAACAAAGAGGACCTGAGCCTGACTTTCATGAGCTTCTGACCCAGTGAAGGGGAGAGACTAGCATACAAATTAGCATAGAGCGTGTAATAAATACCCCACGTAACAGGCAAAGTAACATGGGAAAACAGTGGAGGGTGATTCCAGCTGGATGAGGGAACCAGGGAAGGCCTCACGGAAGGGGTGGGATGGCGCACATCACCATGCCGTAAAGGAGTAAGAAGTGCAAGGGTGAAATGAGTCTCCGGCCATCTCCTACGTCTCCCAGGGCCCGCACTGCACGCTCCGTGGTTTACATCCGCCACTGCTGGCTCCTCCTAGGTATGCACGCGTGGGTGCCTCGTTGCTATTTAAAGTTCTAACAGGGCGGGTGACCAGAAAGGGACATGGCCCTCTTCCCGCCACCAGTGAATCCCCTGCAACCTGATCACACGCCTGGGCAGAGAAGGAAAGAGTAACACAAGCCAAATACTTGGACCAGAAAACAGATCCTCCCTTTAGAAAGCTCCATGAGTGTGTGTCTTGTTCACTGCTGCGTTCCCAGCACCGAGCTCGGGACAGTGAGACATGCACTCACTGTCTGTTTCCTGGGTGGACAGGTGCATGGGTGGAGACGAGACTATGAATACCCTGAGCGTATCAAAGAAGACTTCCTGGAGGGGAAGTCTAAGCTGAGCCCTAAGGTAACAGTTGGTAAGAGTAACAGCTGGCCCAGTGGGTGGGAGAGGGAAGGAAAGGGCTTCAGACAGAGCACACAGCATGGCCAAGGCCTGGAGCCAAGAGCAAGCAAGAACATTCAGGGAAGCCAGCCCAGATTCCCCAGGGCTCACCCAGATGCCCAAAGTCACCCAAAGTCGCCAAGTTCGTGGGATTGTAAGTGGTCAGGAGGGCAGGAGGAGCGGAGGAGAAGATGAAAGCGTAGCCCCAGGAGGAAGGGCAGAGGTCCCAGCAGCAAGCTGACACCCTCCCCTCGCTGCTTCTCCTTCCCCTCCCCTCTCCTCACCCAGTGCAGGGGTGGAGGCAGGGTTTGGGAAGAAGCTGCAGCTGAAAGAAGATAAGGCAGAGCCATGCTGGAGGAAAGGAAGTCTAACTGCTGACACAATGCTCAATCAAAACGTTTCCTTAGCAGCTTGGCCAGCAGCAAGGCAGCCTCCCCACTACGTGGGTCTTAGCACAACGATAATAAAATCTTCTAGGAGGCTACCTGCCAGACTAGTTATCCCAGGATCACAGGCACAGGAGGAGGGGGTGCAGGGGGCCTCAGCACTGGTCACATTTAGAGATGTAGAGACAGTCCTTGAAATCACCCAGGTTTCCCAACATCGGTCAGTGTCACACCAAATCAGTGAATTTTGCACCTCCAAGCACCACCTGTGCAGCTGTCCCCACTTCTCCTCACCCCGTCTGCTTGCCACTCCCCTGGCAGACAGGTTCCTGGCCTCAAGTACCAGTGATGGAGGGGAGGGGTGAGCAGAGAAGGGACTTTCCGCCCTGAAATATTCAGCAGGTCCAGATGCCAGCTGGTGAGCAGCCTGGACCCCGGGGCTCCGAGGTCTTGGGCCCCACCCAGGCCGCTGCTAGAGCAGGAGTCCTGAGGCGTCTTGGGAGCTGAAGCGACATGACCCAGAGAGATGGCTGCCTGGCCAGGACTCTACCAAAGAGCTGCCTCTACTTGGCCAGACCCAGGTCTCATCTCTGCCACTCCTGGAGTTCCAGGCACCAGCACCTGCCCCCCTTGCCCTGTACCTAAAGTGTTCTGATGCCCATCCTCACGTTCAAACCCAGAACATCCCTGTGAAACAGAGGCCGCAGAGCCATGCTTCCAGCCCATCCTATGACACCGCACCATTTCTTTACATCTTTGGGCCTCCAGTTACCCCCTTCTGGAGGGAAAGATAGGGAAAATAACACAGTTACCACCGTAGAAGTAGGTGGAGGGTGATCTGGCCCAGAGAAACGAGGGAGCGACTTGTTCTGTGTGTGTGTGTGTGTGTGTGTGTTTGGAAGAGGACACATTATGAGCAGAAGTGGGAAGCTAATGACTGGGAGCATTCATCACAAACTTCACCTCAGGGAAAGGAAGACCTTTCTCACACTTCTCTAGCACAGCCCGACTGGTGATAGTTTGACTTATAATTTTTCAACTTTATGATGGAGCAAGAGCAATACATATTTAGCAGAAGCCGTTCTTCCAGTTTTGAAATTTGACCTTTTCCTGGGCTAGCGATCCGCGGTGCAATCCTCTCCCAGGACACTAGGCAGGGGCAGTGAGGGGCAGGGGCAGTGAGGTGCAGCTCCCGGTCAACCACGTAATCGTGAGGGTGAACAGCCGATACACTGACAGCCATTCTGTACCCATACAACCACTCTGTTTTTCATGCACGATGGCAGGCTACCGTAGTGTTCTAAGCACATTTAAGGAAAGTGAAGCTGAGCTATGCTGTTCAGTAGGTGAGGTCTATTAAATACATTTTGACTTAATGATGTTTTCTTAACTGGTTTATGGGGACGTAACCCCCATTGTAAGTCGAGGAAGATCTGTATTGTCTTCAGTATCCTCCTCCCTACTCCAACCCTTGCACTCCAAGCATCCAGACTGCTTTTACTGCCCTGAACACACTACGTTTTCTCTCCTCTGGCACTCTGTTCCAGCATCCCCTCTACCTAGCCCACTCTCAGCCCTCTTGCTCTTCCCGGAGTCACTCACTCCAGGCAGCTTTCCCTGTTCCCTCAACCTGTGTGCCCCCAGGGCTCCTTTACTGGCCCAACCAGAACATCAGCACTGGGAATGGGGGGGATCCAATACAACCAACTCAGCCTTACGGACAAGGGACCCCCTAAAGCCCTGACACCCTGGGACTCTTGCTTTTAGGATATCTACTGGCCCCTGGTCTATGGCAACAAGAAACCACAGGTCAGCCAGGCAGACAGCATGGTCTGCGAGCACTGGAGTGGGAGTCCAGAGGTCTGCACCCTAGGTTCTGGCCACTCTGGTCTCCCAGAGCCTGATCTGTCCACCTGGGTCATGCAGAACCCTGCAATTCGAATGCCTCTCAAGAAGTAGCTTTGGGATGATTACAGATGGGAAATGGGGAGCAGCAAGATTTATGCCTTACTTCTCTGCTCATAAGCACTAGCACTCTCCTCCTGGTCAGAGAGGCCACTGGCGCAAAGTACACTCCTCAGAGGCTGATAGGGGGTCGTGGGTAAGACTCGTGAGTATGGACCCTGTATCACATAACACACTGTGCGCTTCAGACAATGTCAATAGATGTCCTTAAGGCTCTTGTTCATAGGGTGTCAAGTCATGAAGATGGGGACAAAGCTTAGTTATCACTGTGCTCAACCACCTCGTAATGGAAACTGGGACCCCAGAGAAGGTTAAGAACTCACCCAAGATCACACAGCTCCTGTACTATATCTGTGGACAACAGCTGTGCGACTGACGTGAGGGACCAAAGGGGCCAAGTCAGGCGCCCCGTAGTTATAATTTCCCTTTTCAGCTCCATCACTGCAATGACCCCGTCTGTTTCTCTAAGGCCAGACAACAGGGATCACTCTCACCTGGCACAGAATGACAGCTCTGACTAAGGACAGAACCTAATCCTGGCCACACACAGGAGTAAAAGCTCCGATACACCTCAAGTTCTACAGCCCAGCAAAGTGCTCACAGAGCATGAAAGCTGTGGGGTGGGGGGTGGGGTCTCCCAAGTTGGGAAACTTAATCCCAAATGCATGTGACGGGGAACATTTTTGCCTCCAGAGCAGAGAGGACCCTCTACTGCTTCTGCCTGTTCAGTATCCATCTCCCTTCCTGGGGCAACCACTCTTCAGCCATGCAGTTCTGGTGGGACCAACTCCACTGCCTGGATCCAAATTACCCAGGCCCAGTCAGTGAAACCAAACCCAGGACTTTTCCTGGAATCATTTGGAATAAATTATGTTGTTTTCTGTAGGCTGCCCAAGAAACAGAATGGAAGCCTGGAGATTCTGGTGGCTAGCATGATAAATGAATGAAGCCCAATTGCCCAAGAATAAAGCCACCCAGAGGAAGCCCAGTTCATACAGGCAGAATCCTGACAATATCATGTGGGCCCCTGGATCCAGCCAGACCTGAAGCCCTGGACTTCTCAGTCATGTGCACCAGTACACATCCTTTCTGCTTAGGATGTTGTGTGTTGTTACTGGCCACTTGCATCTGAAAGAGCTGTGACTTGTAACAGGAATGAGCAAAGCCTGAGAACCTCTCCAGCTCCTTTCATACTGAAGGAATCAGGGATCTGTACAGCAGGCCCAGTGACTCTAGGAGGAGCCCAGTCCCAGAGAAGTACTTCAGGAGGGGAGAGGCTCCTTACCTGTGCTGGTTTGGCCATGGTCTCAGGTTCTGCAGCAGCACAAAACACTGTGGAGAAAGGAAAGCCATGAGATTTCCCTGCACTCTGCTCCCCTCCATACTTTCCCCTCAATTCCTTCATCCTTCCTTCCTCCCAAGGGAGAGTCTGCTACCCCTGCTGTTTTCTAGCTGCTGCCAGCCCTTCAGGTTAAATCACATCCAAAGACCTGGCTCAGGGCCAGATTTTTCCGGAGGACAATGGAAGGACTAGCTGGTGTCCAGACGCTCACACCAGGATGGGAAAGGGACTTGGAACTGAGAGGGAGAGAAAGCACGACCACTGACCAGCATGACATTCCTCCAGGCCATGCTTTCCCAGATGCTGTCTCACTTAATCCTCTTAGCAATCCTTCCCAGAATCAGATTCCCCTTTTCTGGAGGAGGAAACAGAGGATGGGAGCTCAGGGGGGTTAAATAATTTGCCCAAGATCATGCAGCTTAAAACTGAATTCAACATCTAGATCCCAGAGTCCACGCCATCTGCACCTGGTGTGCTCTCATCCCAAGTCACCAAGAATGGTTCCAGGTCTGCAGACACGCACTCAAGGGGCTCCAGGTTACCTGTTGCAATTATCTGAAGGGATATGGTTTCTTAAGCAACTACTCTGATTAGGCACTGCTCTAGGAACTGAGGATACAACAGTGAATAAAAGAGACTTTCTAAAACATGAGCTTCTCTGGAGCTTACTCTACAATGAGGAAGAGTAACAAACACATACGACAAAAACTGAGAACAAACGATGAAGCCTGGTTGGGAGAGAATGACAAGGGGCGTGACCCCAGGTGGAGCAGTCAGGGGTCTCATGAACCACGTGGATCCTGGGGGCGGTGCTGTCAAGGAGTTCAGTGTGGCTGATGTGATGGCAGGGAATGGGGAGGGGGCACTGGCAGGATGAGGGGGTTGGGGACCAGTGCTGAAGGCCACTGGAAAGACTGGGTCTTTTTTCTCTGATGGGACAGAGGTCATGGGTCAGGGTGGGGACTGAACAAACAGAGGACACAAGACCTCACTGAAAGAGGTGTCAGGGACAGGGTCTACAGCAAAGGAGTAAGAAACAAAGATATCTTACCTAAAAAGACATGCGAAAAAGGATGTCACTGGTTTGGAAAGGGGAAGAGAAGAGGGAGGGGCTGGGTGACTGAGCGCTTGGGCAGGAAGGCAGAGATGGAAGAGAAAAGATCCTCTCAGGATAAGAGGAGAAAAAGGACCAGCACCTCCCATTCTAGTCCAGATTGCATGCTTTAATCTTTTTTAACCATGTCTATGTATTACTTTTTAAAAGCAGAAATAACAAACTCTGTCAGATTTATATTTAGTAAGACCTAGAAGTTGCTGAACTAGAAAAGAGAGTAGAAGCGAGGAAGACACTTAACCTCAGCGCTTCCTAGTTCTTCAAATATCAATCCCCCTACCAAAAAAAAAATCTAAGGGGAAATGAGCCCCTGTTGTCCTCAGCACATAATCCTGCTCTCACTCTGGGGCCACTGAAGACCCTGCGACATGGTGGAAGAACACAGGTGTGGAGTCAGGCAGACAGACCTGGATTCAAGTCGGTTTTGTCACTGGTTAGCTATGTGACCTTGGGCATATTGCTCATCTCTGCATTCAAGGTTATCTCAAGTATAAGACCCAGGCTTTCCCTTTCCTGCTTGGAGGGATGTTGCAGGAGAGGACCTAACTAGGTCAAGGCCAGGCAGAGACATGGTCTCAGCAGGTGGGGGCATTCAGGGTACTAGCAGGAAGCTGTGAGGCGCAGGCTTTGTCGTGTTTGCCTGGTCCCCCAAATCAGTCAGCAGACAGACACGAGATGGGCTGGGAGTGAAGAGCGGACGGCAGCGAGCTCACTGCAGAGCTTGAGGAAACCCTGCTGTTTCCCTGACAACCAGGGGCCCTCGGTAGGAACTGCAGCTCTCCTCAGGAAATGGAAACCCCCCACGGGGCAAGAGGGCACCCACAGCTCCCCCCGGCTCTGGCCAGGAGCCAGCTCTGGGTTTCCTCACGCCTGGGGGCCAGTGTGGGTAAAGCGTGAGGGAGCTCCAAGGCCAGCAGAGAAACAGGGACCTCATGAGGCCCAGAAAGTCAGCTGAAGCCCGTCAACCTGCACTTGCGGCCTGGAAGCATTTTCCTTTGGCCTTGCTGCTGGAAACTTCAGCTGCTGGCGGCAGCCCAGGCCCATCTGGACGGCTCAGAGGAGGAGCCTCCAAGTCTTCGGGAAAATGCTCTGAGCTCTGACAGCAGTTTACGTATGCCTCTTGTGAGTGCACGTCTCGTGTGTACATGGAAAGCAAACTTCTTCCAGAACTTGATGTTCTGATTGCAGTTCAGGGGGCTGAGCGCCAACAGCACCCCTCTCTGAGAACGCGGGGAAGCTCTGGAGCGAATCACAGAGGCGCCATCTACCCTGGCTTTCCGAGGGGCTCTGATCCCTCCCAGAGCAATCCAGACCCCACTTCTCAAATTGCCTGAATACATGTTTTATATCCAATGTTTCAGAACCCCAGAGGGCCCTAACGCTCCACTACTCCGAGCCCCTCACTTTCTAGGCGGGGTAAAGGCGTCTCAGAGAGCCAGGCCCCGACCACGGCGACATCCCTGCCTCCCAGCCCCAGGTCATAACAAGCCCCCACACCGCTATTGGCCCTGGCTGCAGTGGGGCGCTAGGAAGAGGTCAAAGGAAAAGACCCAGGCTCTGCTTCCCAACCTTCCCTCTGTAACCTCAGACAAGCCAGATTCCCTCTCTGGTCCTCAGTTCCTTCATCTGCATAATGTGGATAATATCACTCCCCGTTTAGGGAAGCCCAGAGTGGATGTGAGAAGCTTTTGCAGCTATCAGTTAGGGATTCTTACAGCAAAATCACAGAGTATCAGTCCTAGGAGAGTTCGCCCCCAGGCCACAGTACTCCTCCCTATCCCCACCCCACCCTCAATATGCAAGTTTCATCATCTTGGTTGAAATAGCTTCTCAAGGCTGGCAGGTATGGTCGCTCTAGACCAGTGCCTCTCTCCTCCCAGGAACCCTGGATCTCTTCTGACCTGGATTTCTAGGCGGGCTCACCGTGGCTGATCATTCCAGAAACCCATTCAAGGGTAGAGTTCCCTGGTGGCCTTGTGCTGCTGTGGCCACTTCCTACCTCAGACCCTGGGGCTGCAAGCAATCATGATTCCTTCCTCCCCCTTTGGGAGCTCAGGACTGACTCTAGGAGAACGCTCCGGGGTAGAGAATACCAGGGCTGGTGCAAATGCAGTGTTGGGGAAACCCAGAGGGGGACAGAAGGGTCTTTTCCCAGTCCTGCAAAAGGCACGGGCTTGGAGGTCAGATCGAGTCCCAGCTCTGCCCCTCACCAATTTGTGATTTTGTAAGTTACCTAAATGATGAATCTCAATTTCCACATCTGCAAAATGCATATAAAAAATACCTCCCTGTGTACTGAGAAATAAATGAAATAATGGATGAAGAACCCTTAGCACAGGGCCTGGCACACAGGAAAGGCTCAATACATGGTGGCTTTTATTGTCCCAAACATTCACAAGGGAAGCAGCGTGGCATCGTAATAAAGAATGCAGGCTTTGCAGTCATGGCCTGAGTTCAAATCCTGAGGGCTCATCACCTGGGGTGAGTTATCTCATTTCTCTCTGACTCAGTTTCTTCATCTCTGAAATGACAATCTCAAAAAGTTTTTGTGAAAATTCAATGACGTAAAGCAGGTAAAATACTTAGCAGGGCCAGGTACAGATTAAATCCTTAGTGACTTCAGTTACCACCATCACCGTTATCGGAGCCGTGGTCTCCAACGTGGGGTCGTGGGGTACTGGGCACGGAAATCTATGAGATTATTACAACTTTCTACATTTGCTTAAACTGTACTTTTCTGTTCCGTTTTTGATATTTGCTACACATACATAAAGTTAAAGACACCCTATTAGGGGTTCAGGCTGATAAAAGTACACAATCAAGAGTTTGGACTCAATGGGATGAAGCAGAGGAAGGAAAAGAAAGAGGGGGTAAGAAACACCAGTGAAAAAAAAAAAGCATTTCTGTCCTCAAAAGGCAGCCTGTGTGCTTTGGAGGAATGGAGAGCACTTTTGGAGAGGATGGAGGGAATGTTGAATATAAGGGAGTGAGTTCAGATGTGTATGGTGGAGAAGGGTTATAGCTCCAGTGGTAGGGTGCATGCTCAGCACACAAGAGGTCCTGGGTTCAATCCCTGGTACCCACTCCAAGCAGAAACAAATGAAGAAACCTAAATATCGCCCCCCCATAAAATAAACAATACAAGCAGATGTGTATAGGAAGGGCAAATTGAGAGGAAAAAAACACAGTCTGGGAGATTTATGCAAAAAATCACCCAGACCTCGGTGCCCCAGGAGTGAGGGACTGATGTCACTGCTGTGACCATTCAGCTACAATACTCACTTCAATGCAGGCCCTCTGAGCTCAACACTCAAGGCCCCTGATATCCTTGCTATGTATCTGCCCTCCCCTCCCTCCTTTTCACCCACCACCACACCCACCCTCTAACCCCCTAAACCAGGAGTCTCTTTCACCAGCGTTTTCTATCCAGCCTTCTAGCAGCAAAACCGGTGCTTTTTTCAATTCTGGCTTCATTAATACCACCCGGGGAGTTTTTCAAACTTACCAAAGCGTAAGGCCAACCCCCAGAGATTCTGATTCAATGGTTCTGGGATGAGGCCTGGGCTTTGGTAACTTTTAAAAACTTTCCTAGGTGATTCCGCTAACTCTTCTAGGAAACCAGAAGGGACTTCTCCAGGGCTTGGGTCAACTTTCGGTGGATGTATCATTCCTCTGTTAGATGGAGGCTGCTTGTCTCCAAGGTATTGAGGGAAAAAAATCTTTAAATATGCACAATAATTCTTAGAGATACGCTTGTTCTGCCCTATCTGATAAAGATCCAGTGGACTTCCCTTCCCTCCCCCACCTCTGGTGGAAAAACCAGTTTGCCTCCATGTATAGTTCCTTTCACTGTAAAGGCGGCAACTGACTCTCTTCTGAGCTGGTTCTAACAGCTGCCTGAATAGAATAAGTAGAATAAAATGCTTAGTACACGATCATTTTTATATCTGTGTGGGTCATGATTTTACCTGTTCTTGAAAATTACTGTATGTTTCCCTGATGCACCCGCAAGGATTGTTGGGTGAAAGGTATGGGATGGTTTTCATGTTTTCTTTAGTGACTCCCTTGAAAAATCACAAAATAAAAAGAATCATCTGGCCTAGTGGTTTTCAAAGTCATTATACAGCCACGAGAGGAAGTAACTTGAAGGGTTAAGTAACCTGCCCAACTCATGAAGAAAATTAGTGATTAAGCAGGAGCTCATTTTTTAAAAGATATTTATTGAGCGTCTTCTGCATGCCCACCGGCAGGAGTTGGGGGCAGAACAGAAAATGAGACAGACAAGTCTCCCGCCCCTACATAAAGCTGACAGTCTAGCGCAGTGATCTGCAAATTTCTCTGACCCTGTATACCAACAGTAACAAAAGAGAAAAAAAGATCGTTCATCATGATAACAAAAATATACTTTCTAAGCAGATTAGAAGCACACATAATAAGAGGTCTAACAGCTTCTTCCTGTACCCCAGAAAATCATCTTTAGTGCCTCCCAGGGTGAGTGCACCCCACTTCGGAGGCCCCTGGCCCATAAAATCTAGATCCTTTCCTTTCCCCTATTGGGATGGCTCCTCCCCCAACCCTCAGGGAAACACCCAGGACCAGCCCCTCTGCCCTCCAGGGTCTGCGTTTAATGAAGCCAGAGGAAATGCCATTCCTGGCCCTGGGCCTGGGCACACCCCCCAGCTCTGAGCACTCGGTTTCTTGGAGAGCAGTGTCTTTCCCTCTCCTGATGCAGAAGCATCGATCCTCAGACTGGACAAGGCCCCAGGAGATCATCAGGCCATCCCAGGTTTGGAATTGGACTGGCCTGGGTCTGAATCCCAGCTTGGGTCACTTCTGTCAGAGACAGCAAAGCGAAGGGTCCCCCAGTGCAGAGGGAGGGGCCAGACTGCCCGAGACTGAAGACTGACTTGCTACTTAGGAGCTGTGTAGCCTCGGGCACATACTTAACCTCACAGGATGGGAGCTGAAAATAGCACCTACCTCAGAGAAGTTGTGGTGAGGATGAAAAAAACTTAAGACACACCTAGTGCTTAGAAGATGCCCTGGCATACAGGACACACGATGTCAATGTTAATATTCTTTCTTCCCTCAACTCTTGAGGGCTGCATTTCCACATCTGCAAAATGGGCACGGTAACAGCATCTAACGTATCAAGGGTTCAGCCGAGGCCTGGTAAGTTGGAGGGGTTCAACAAATAATAGAATTTACTATTTCATTATTACTCACCAGGACACTGTTTTGCAGATGAGGAACCTGAAGCTTAGGCCACCTGCCTTTTCAAGTGCCACACCCTTCTGAGATTACAGCAGTAGCTCTTGATTCTCTGGGCAGGGCACTCCGTAGTTTGCAAGGCACTTTTTCATGATGCCATCTTATAGTCCCGTGAGGATGTACATCAACCTCATCCTCATCTTACACATGGGGGGGGGGTGGTCTGAGGCTCGAAGAACCCAAGGACAGGTGTTCCTCCTTAGCCAGTCTCAGTGGGCACTTTTCAACCCCAGGAGGAAAGAGAGTGTGGCTGGATTCCAAATCAAGAAGTTTAAAAAAGATAAAGGCATCTCCACCCAGACTTCCTCTCCTCGGTTGAGAGGGAGGTGGAGGGAACTGCATGCTCAAAATCAGGGTAGAGACCACACCCTGTGCTTTGTCCCCACCCAAGAAGCATCTTGGAGGGGCTAGGTGGGTGAAGCTGGTGACACTACCAGACCTCCCCAGAAAATCCTAGAATGGCACAGTAAGAAGAGCCAGGCAGCCCCATTTTACCAACTCGCATCCCTCTAGAGAGGAAGGCACTAAGGCCCAGAGGGGTAGGATTGTGCCCAGGGCCCCAGCTGGTTAGTGGCAGGGCAGAGGCTGGGACTAGGTGTGGCTAGAGCCTCGTGGCCCAGGACTCCCTCCGGGTGGTGCCGCAGTGCAGATGCTCCAGACGCTGGCAGCCGCCCAGTACTGCAGAGATCCCCGACCCCGTCCCTGAAATAAGCCCAAGAGGCCAGGGCCCCGACTTCCCAGGGGCAGCCCCCTCCTCTGACACTCGCAGTCTGCCCCAGCAACAGCTGTGGCCCTTATCCTGAAACCGCAAATATTTTCTGTATCCCAGCAGCCTGGGCCTCGGGAACAAAGAGAGGAAGGCAAAGGAAGATGGGTGAGTGGCTGTCACAGCTGCAAAGGGGGATGAAGGCCTCGACCCCACCCTACTTCCACAATTCTAAGTCTAAAACAGTTGAATCCTAGAAGCAGCAGCCAGTCTCACACTTTGCTAGAGACCATAACTAAGGCCCAGAGAGGGAAGGCCCCGCCCAAGGACCCTCAGCACGGGGAACTGTAACCCAGCTTTCCACTGACCCCCAGGCCAGTGCCCTTGGCAATGGTGCAGCCTTGCCAGCCAGAAGGACAGGGTCCATGGGAGCTGAGGCTGGGCGGTCATTCACCTCAAAAGGGAGGCCAGGCAGGTCAGGATATCCCATCTGAGGCAGTGAGGCCAGCAATTTAAGGTGTGCTTTGGGCAAGGAGGAGGGAGAAGTGAGGGGAAAGGGCGGACTCGGGGGAAACCAGAGTTTTTTCACTGACCCAGGAGCCATATGTCCAAATTTGGCATTTTCGGGGAAGACCCACCAGGGTTTAGAGAAAAGGAGGGGGAGGGCGGAAGTAACGAGTGGATTGTCCTCACAAAGGACCCCCCTCCCTTCCCTTGCAGGGACTACCAGGGTAGACCGCGCTTCCCAAGCCTTTAATCATTCCTTGCAGCTGGCAAATAAATCCATTTTTACAGCCATTGTTTCCTCTGAGGGGGCTGGGTTTATCAGCTCTGGACTTGGAGCAGGAAATTGAGGCTCAGAGAGGGAAAGCTACTGATTCAAGGTCACACTGCGAGTTGCTGGTGGCGCTGAGATTCGGACTCAGGGTATTTCACTCTTATGCTAGTTTTTGGGGAGTCATCTGAAGCCTCCAAACTTTGGAAAGGCCAAAACTGGGCTGAGGCGTAGCAGGAAGAAGGGTGGGGCCTCTGTCTCACCACAAGGCCCCTGGAGCCCAGCTGGGAGTCTCCCTTAGTGGTCCCAAGAGGACGGAAGGGTCCATCGGGGTCCCGAGGTGTGGACAGCCTGTCCCTCATCAGCATTGCATACAAAGAGCCCTCTCCCAACCACACACACAAGCCGTCTCAGGTGCGGCCGGAGGGTCTGACTCTTTATACCCTCATTCTTCGGCCTCAGCTACACCCTTCCGCGGTCCTTAGCCTCCGTCCAGCTGCCTCCACCCGGGCCTTCCACGCCCTTCCAGCCCCGCAAAGCAGGGCCAGGCGCCCTCGGCCCCTCCGCCACACCCTCCGCAGCGCGCCCGCCCGCCCGCCGACCCCCTCCACGGCCGCAGCCCGCGCGCCGTCCGCCTCCGCGTCTCCGCCTGCGGCGGTGGATTCGCTCCACCGCCCGGCCCCAGACACGCCCTGCCCGCGACCCTCTCGGGCTACCGCGCCCCGGGGGTCCCGGTCCCCGCGGCCCCCACCCCCGCGCCCCTCCCGCTCCGGGGCGCCCCTCCCCGCGGGCGGCGGCAGGGGTAGCTCAGCGATGACGGGGCGATTACTGCTCACCCCCGCGTCCCTGCAGCCCCCCGGGGCGGGCGGTGTCCCACGGGGCGATCTTGTCTACGGCCTCAACCCACTCACCGCGCGGCGGAGGCCTCCTGGCGCAGATGAGCAGACGGACGGACGGGCGGAGGGACGCGCAGACGCGGCGCTCGCTGGGTCGGAGCCCGTTAGCAGAGCAGCAGCAGCCGCAGCGCCGGAGCGGGCTGGGAGGACAGTCCTCGGCTCCGGGGCGGGACACGTGGCGCGCAGGGGCCAATCCGGCTCGCCCCGCCTCCCCTCCCCCCCTTGCCCACCTCCCAGGTTCATTTGCTCCGGGAATCTTAGAATGTCATCAGTCGGGAGGGGCCTCGCCAGGAGAACCGCCATCCGTGCTCAGACCCCAGATCTGAGACCTGGAGAAGCAGGGAGGATTCGGCCAAGGTCAATCGGCCAGTCAGGGCTAGAAGTCAAAGCTCCTGCCTGACTCCCAATTCTGGACACTTTCCTCCAAATTCCTACTGCTCGCCAAAGCTTTGTTGGGAAATAGAACCTTGAGATTTGACCAAATTAAGGCCACTCACTTTATCTGCCTGATGAGATTCCAACCCTCAAGAGCCCATCAGGTCTTAGCCACTTTCCCAAGGAGAGCTTAGAGAAGTTCTGTTTTTTAACCACAATCATACAGCTGGTAAGCCGTGGAGCGGGGATTCGAACCTGAGCCAGGTGACTCCAGGGAGTGCGTTTATTCTAGATTGACTCTGGGGAGTGCATAGTCCAGGGAAAAGTGAGAGACCAAGAGACCAGCAGTTATAATCTAGAGCTGTGGATAAAACCATAGAATTATTTAAAAAGTGATAATGTCTTTGGGAATCCAGAGGATGAGAGGGGATTTGTAAAGACTTCCTGGAGGAGGTGATGCTGCAGTAAGATCAGTAGTACTTCCCCACCCCTTAGAAATTCTGCTTTGGTGGAAAGATAGCAACCCTGGGCTGTCACTCAGCTGCTGAGTCTTCATGGGCAAGACGCTTAACCGCTCTGATTTTCAATTTGCTCATCCAAAAGATAGGGATAATCAAAGTTTCTTCCAAAGGTTGTCCTCAATCTGTCACTAGTTTAGAGAACTCTAAGCCTCTAACAAGGGGACTTGGTTGGAAAGTATGTTGTTTCATTTATTCATTTCCCAACAAGCATTTATGGAGCATATGCTGCATGCTGGGCACTGAGCTGGGAGGCTGAAGGAAGCAGATGGAAAATGAGGCCCTGACCTGCCCTCATGGAGCTTCCACTCTTGTGGAAGACAGATGGTTAGGTCATTGTTATAAGAATTAGGCAGCTGTAATCTGGAAACTATAAAGTGCTCTGATGGCCACAGCAGATGGACCCAGCCAAACCTAGACCTCTGGATGAGAGTGATGTTAAGTTGTAACCAAAAGATGAATGGAATCTAGTAGGAGACTAAGAAGAAATTAAAACAATTACCTTAAGATAAGATGTGCTGTCAGTGGTAGCAATACCTTCTGAGATAGAATATGGAAGGGCTGACCCCAGGGAGGATGGAGGTGGGGGTCCCCTCAAGCATCATTACAGTATCTGCTATGTATTGAGCATTTTCTAGGAGCCAGGCATTGCTGTAAGCGCTTTACTTGCAATGTCACATTGAATCCTCACAGCTCATTAATAAATATTTATTCAGCACCTACTCTGTGCCAGGCACTATTTTAGGAGCTTTGTCAGCAAACCACATGCAGATCTCTGCCCTCATGGAGTCCGCATTTCCATCAGGAAATGAGAGAGACACACAACAAGTAACCATGACAATATGTTAGTAGGTGACAAGTGCCACGGACAAAATACATGAAGAGTCCCAGGATGACAGGGGACACTGCAGTGTTATGGAGGGTGTTTGGCAGGGGCCTCAGTGAGAGGGTGAGATCTGAGCAAAGCCATGGAGCAGGTGAGGCAAGTAGTGGAGCTGATGGGAGACCTGTGGGAAGAGCGCTCCAGGCAGAGGAATAGCTGGAGCACAGGCTCCAGGGCTGGAGCAGGCCTGCAGTGTTGGAGGAACAGCAGAAAGTGTGGCTGGAGTCCAGTGAGCAGGGAGGAGAGTAAGGGGGCGGGGAGGTTGAGGGGGTGGGGTTGTGGGAAGAGCCTGGAGCTCCAAGATCTGAAGGCAGGAAAAGATAGATGTCCCAGCCCCAGAAGAGGGAGACTGAACTTGCCTTTCATTTGCCTTTTGCTCCATTTGGGTCCTCAATGGACTGCAGAGGACCAGCCTCTTTGCTCAGTCTACTGAATCAGATGCTAATCTCATAGCTAATCAAATGCTTACTGTCACAGATACACCCAGAAATCATGTTTTACCTAGCTCTCTGGGCAGCCCCGTTGTGAAAGGAAAACCAAAATGGATTTGGGATTGTTGAGAGCTCTCTAAAATGGAGCCTGGAGGCAACTGAGGAAGAGTGACTGGTGTCTGTCTTAGCCTGGATGGAATCTGACCTTTTGAGCACTGGTTGTTCTCCAGAACATCTATTGTCACCCAGAACACCTGCCAGAACCTCAAGGTATTTATCAGACCCTTACCCTAAAGTAACCTGTACAGCCATCCCTTAAGGACAAATCTTTACTTTCTTGTGTGGGAGTCCAGCCTCCTGGTTTTTGCCTTTATAAGCCCTTGACTCTTTCTCTTCCCTGGAACACTCTTCCAGTTTTACCAGAATCTGTGTCTCCCAAATCACAATTCTTAAGACCCCAAATAGACTCTTATTTGCAGCTGTCTGCATTTCTTCAGTTGACATTACATGGTGTCAGACGAATGGGATACAGAGTGACCTGCCTTGTCCCTCGTTCCAGCACAACCATGGACTCCAGTAAGATACCTGCTCTGTGTTTCTTTGGTGGTCCTGGATGGTGGCGGTAAGTCCTCCCGTACCTGAACCTCCCACCTTGATAGAGGTTCTACTTTATTTTGGTGTCGTCTGTGCTGGCTTCTGTTTTCGGGACTTCCCATTTCAGCCTGGTGAGTAATTACTCCTGGAAAAATGGAAAGTTCACTTTCTAAGGGTAAGACTGTAGAGCATCCTCCTTCTGCAACTCCTATTGGGTTTTTGACAAAAACTATGGACCCTCGTGTATAGCACAGGGAACTATACCCAATGGCCTGTGGTAACCTATAGTAAAAAAGAATATGAAAAAAAAAATATGGTCCCATAGACCCAAATCGACCAATTCAATCGTTCGTATGTTTACTCAAAATCAAGTAAGTTCATGTCATCTCTGTTACAAAATTTGTCAGCAAGAAAAATAACTTGGTATGATAAAATTTTCATAAACATATTAAATGTAAATGTCATAAGAGTTCTTAGGTGAACTCTTTAGAATAAATATGTTTTATGATATGTCTACTTAAATTGTTTTCTTCTATCTTTTTGGTAACTTGAAACAGGGTTTTGCTAAATTAAGTTAAATGATTGAAATGTATTAAATATCTAGATCAATCCCAAATAAAATAAGATACTGAGATGTTAATTATTGAACACTGGCATCCTTTAACAGAGAAACTAAACATATTTGGAACTATTTGTAAATATCTTTGGTGCTACACTGAGAACATTTTCTATGAGAAAGCACGTGTTTCTAGAAATTGTAAAAAAGTATTTATGTTTGCCAAGCCTACAGAGAACTATTGTAAAAGACAGCTCATAATTGCTTACTTCTTAGTTTTCACTAGAAATTGAAGTTTTTAAAGGTTAGGAATTTTAATATATGTGATTGTTGACTGAAATAAAATGTACAACCTAAAAGTTGAGTGTTTTATTCGGTGGAAATTTCGGAGGACTCAGCCTGGGATGGCAGCCTCTCAGGTCGCTCTGAGGGACTGCTCCGAAGAGGTAGGGGAGGAGCCAGGACACATAGGAGTTTTACAGCAAAGAGCAGGTAGTCAGAACATTAAAACGTTACTGTTAATTAAAGAAAACCAACGTCAAGTTAAAGAATTTAGCGCTTTTCTATGTACGGGAAGGAGCAAATGTCTGGGCTCATGGAAATCATTCCTTTGATATGCACCTTAGCTATCTAGGGCCAGTGTCCCTTTCTTTCCTGTCCCTCAGGGGCACCATAGGGGGCGGCTGCAGAAGCCGAGCTCCCTGCTCGTTTGTATCCTGAGTTGGCTGATGCCTTGATGGCCACAGCATTCTTTGTTCATTTCTATGATTTGCGGTATTTTTCTTTCACGAAGTCTTTGTTATATTGTTTAAATGGAAAACTAAGCGTATTTTCACAGTGACCTATGATCCTATTTGACCAAGTGTTGTGAAAACTTTTATCTAAAAAAAGTTCTAAATGAAGTCTTTTTTAACTTAGAACTAACTTTGAGATTTGAAATATTTCAGAGGGCCCCTGAAGTTATCAGAGATGTGTTCTCGCTCCTCACCAAAGGGAGGTGTTAAACTAATGAGACTTTTGTGATATGTTCTATTA